CTGTATTCGGCTTCAGTGGAAGAGCGTGAGACCGAGCTTTGTTTCTTCGATGACCACGAGATCGGATGTTTGCCGAGGTAGACAATATATGCCCCTGTTGATTTGAAGTCCAAGGTGTCTCGAGCCCAGTCAGCATCACTAAACGCATGAAGATGAATATCATTGGTGGCGGCGAGAAAAAGACCACAAGTCTTTGTTCCAGCCAAGTAACGGAGTATTCTCTTCAGCGCAAGCCAATGTTCATCCGTCGGTTGATGCATGAATTGGCTAAGCTTGTTGACGGCGAAGTTGATGTCGGGTCTAGTCAGAGACAGATACTGCAATCCACCGAGAACTTGTCGATATTCTGTAGCATCTGCAAGAGGAGTACCTTGTGTCAATGTAAGTGGAGGCGAGACAGTCATAGGAGTAGCCACAGATTTAGCTTCATGCATGTTGGTTCTTCGAAGAAAGTCTCCAATATACTTGCGTTGACAAAGAAACAACCCAGCTTCGGTTCGAGTTACTTCCACGCCAAGGAAGAACGATAAAAGACCGAGATCCTTGAGGGAGAAGCGACTCGAGAGTGAGGCAATGAAGGTGTTGATCATATCATCACATGAGCCCGTAACGAGAATATCATCAACGTATATGAGGACGACAAGCTGAGCCAAGCCTCGAGTTCGGATGAATAGCGATGCATCGGAGAGTGAGTTAACGAAGCCACTTTGAAGGAGGTATGAACGCAGTTCGGAGTACCACGCTTGCGGCGCTTGTTTGAGTCCGTAAATAGCTTTGTTAAGCTTGCAAATGTGGTCGGGATTGTCACGGTCAATGAAACCCGGTGGTTGCACCATGTAGACGTGTTCGAAAAGAGTCCCTTGGAGGAAGGCGTTGTTCACGTCGAGTTGTCGAATGGACCACTTTTTGGAGACAGCAAGACTTAGAATGAGCCGAATTGTTGAGGGTTTGACCACGGGGCTGAATGTTTCATGATAGTCGATACCGGGTCGTTGATGAAAACCCTTAGCGACAAGTCTAGCCTTGAACCGATCAATCGACCCATCTTGATGATGCTTCACCCGGAATACCCACTTGCAACCAACCAGATTTGTTGCTTCGTGTGAGGGTACAAGATCCCACGTTCGATTCCGGAGGAGAGCATTTATTTCGTCACACATTGCTAAGCGCCATTGGGGATGTTTCAGTCCTTGTGCCGCGGTGGTAGGGAGATCGGTAGCCGAATCTGAAACAACAAGAGCAAACTTAGGATTAGGCTTAATAATATTAGCCTTGCCTCTTGTGACCATCGGGTGAGCATTTGTCGATGTCTCTGGAGCTGACTGATGGGCTGCTGTTCGAGTTGTAGGAGCCAGTCAAGCTCGGGCAGCGCGGGGGGTCGAATCTGCCGATGGGTCAGCAGGGAGCTCCGTAGTTTCCAGTGAAGGAGTATCACCCGAGAGCATCTCTAGAGGGGGATTTATGAATGGTGTGACAAATGGCTTGATGACACGCGCTAGAGGGGTGGATGTAGAGGAATGTGTGTTTTCAGATTCGACACGAGGAAAGAATGACTCGGGTGAGGCAAAAGGGAAGATGGACTCGTAAAAAACAACATGTCATGAGGTGTATATCCGTGACTTTAGAGGATCTAGACATAAGTATGCGCTTTGGGTTGGTGAATAGCCCAAGAAAACACAAGGAGAGGAACGCGAGTCTAGTTTATGAGCGGAATAGGGTCTTAGCCACGGATAACATAGACAACCAAATATTTTGAGCTTGCCATAATTCGGTGAGGAATGAAACAAGGATTCAAAGGGCGAAGACATGGCTAGAATGGGTGTGGGCATGCGGTTTATGAGATATACGGCAGTGGTGAAAGCATATGACCAATAAGATAGAGGAAGTGACGCATGCATGAGGAGAGAGAGACCGGTCTCGACGATATGTCGATGTCGGCGTTCCGAAAGGCCATTGTGTTCGGGTGTGTGAGGAGGGGTAGTGTAGTGGGAGATACCTTGCTGAGCAAGAAAGGTGGCTAAGGCTATATACTCACCGCCATTGTCGGTGTATAGATGGATTATTTTGGATGAAAACTTGTTTTCGACTAAGGCTTTGAATGCGATAAAAGTATCACGAACGTTGAACTTGTTTTTGAGGGGATAAAGCCAAGAATATCTAGTGAAATGGTCAACAAATAATACGTAATATTTGAAGCCATCCACCGATATAACGGGAGATGTCCAAACGTCAGAAAATATGTATTCAAGTGGTTTTGTGGATGTAATGGTTGAAATTGAGAAAGGAAGTTTGTGACTTTTATTCCTTGAACACGAAACACAATGCGACGACAAAGACTCTCGAGATAAAGGTAAATCATGATGAGACACAACGTGTTTGACAATAGATAGAGACGGGTGACCTAGACGGGAGTGCCACTCGGACAGAGTGGACTTTAGACTCGAAAAAGCTACGATGGAGGATGACTCGGGTGGAGAGGATGGCCATTCATAAACCCCGTTTCTAGTTCTTCCGGTTAGAAGTGACGCCCCCGTGTTTAGATCCTTCACCTGAAACATATGAGGAAAAAATTCCACCGAAACTCGATTAGTCTTGCAGAGTTTATGCACCGAGATAAGCTTCTTTCGGATTGAAGGAACACAAAGTACGTCATCAAAAGACAGTGAACGCTTGGGTAATGAGATAGAGAGAGAACCGATATGTGTTATCGGTAAACTTGAGCCATCGCCGATTACGACATCGTCGGCGCCGTGATACGGAGTATGAAGTTGAAGATGGTGGAGATCGGAGGTTATGTGGTGAGAAGCACCACTGTCCAAGAGCCACGGAGTTGAGTCATATGGCTGAGCCATGACATTATAAGCAGAGGAATTCCAAGGTTTGGTCCGATGGTGATGAACCGAATCGTCCTCAGGTGAATTTCGGTCGTGTTGCTTCAAGGACACAACAAGACGAAATTGTGGGCAAAACTTAGCACTGTGCCCGAGCAGTCCACATGCTTGACATTTACCCTTGTAGCCACCAGATGTATGGCCAGAATTATTGTTCGAGCGCCAGTGCTGACCTGAATGTCTTGGATCACCATTGTGACGTCTTGACTTGATCATCGTGTTGTTTGCAGAAACTGGAAGACCAGAGGAGAGTCCAAGAGACACCGTATTGAGTTTAGCTTCATGATTGAGGAGTTTTTCATGAAGCTCCTCAATGGTGATCGCCGTATCTTTCGCATTCACCATATCAATGACAGGCTTGAATTCTTCCGGAAGACCGTCGAGAATGGCCTCGAGGATATCTTCGTGATCCATAGGTTTGGAGAGACCAGCGAGCTCATCCGTTTTGGAAGTGATGAAACGGATGTAATCATCGATAGTATTGGTACCTTTGGTACATCGTTTCACTTGTTCCCGTAGTTGCAAGATGTGGTCGCGAGATGCCTTGCCGTAGGTGTTGGCAAGAAGGTTCCAAGCATCCCTTGATGAGGGGGACCGAGCGATGAGGTGTTGCAGATTAGTGGAGAGTGCACTAAGGAGAGAACTGAAGATCAACCGGTCTTGTTGCTTCCAGGGAGCAAAGGCGGGATTGGCAGCATGAACACCATCGGTGACGACGGTGGCTGGGGGAACCACTCCGGTGTTGGAGATGAAATCGTCGAGGTTTTGACCCTCGAGAAAGGCTCGAACTTGGATACTCCACGTGAAATAGTTCGATGAGGAGAGCTTCGTAACATTGGACATGTTACAAGCAATGAGGATCTTCTGCGGTTCTTCAGTGTTGAAGGTTGCAGGGGCTTGTTCGATATTAGCAGTGGTAGCGTTTGGGGCAGCCATGGCGATTGGGAGCGGATCGATCGTGTGTTTACACTTTTTGCTCTGATACCATATGAGAGTTTGTGAGAGATGAGTTTCGATTGTGTAAAAGAACGGCTGCGTATTCCATTGCATTCCATTAGAATATATACAAGAGTTTAGTTTAGGGATGCAACCCTAATACAGCAAAGGAAATATACAAGTTTGGGATGTAACAATATTACGGAAATATATGTATTGCCTTATAGTCGTATCACCACAAAAAAAAAAAGTTTAACAACATAGACAAATAATTACGGCTTTTTCACAATTAGACAATTTGAATCTGACAAATAAAAAAATCAATTTGAATCCGTTTAATTGAATTGAATAAATTCGAACCAAAAACAAATCCAAATAAGAATTTCCTGATATTTAAGAGATTGTAAGATACTTTTGAATTATAAATTAGAAAAAAAAATTGCATATATATATATATATAGTGTAATTGTACCGTGTATGTGTGTACGAGCGTTTATGTATATGCAACACTATATATATATATAGTGCTGTTATGTCTCTCTTTATATATACATACACAACACGAAAAAAATATGCAATTTATTGTCGGAAATTGTGATAAAACAAATTGTTTTAGATGGTTCTGTCCTGATCCCATGTGTGAATATAAAAATATCAAATGGTGGTGAATTCGAACTAAACAAAAATTGTTTTGTACGTGTTTATAGTTCATGTGACTGAAATATTGGGTTGAACTCAACTCTTTTAATAAATGACCCTAACCTAACCCGACCATGAAAATACGACGCCATAAGGAAATTGATTGACATCTTTAGTTTTTGTTTCTTGATATCGTGGGAACCTCAACTATTACTCATTTGATGCGTCGATTGGGTAAACACTGTCCACATATACGAGTCAACGATACACATGTACAATGTGAATCAAATGTAATTGATAGACGACAGATGAGTAAGGAGTCAAATCCGCAATCTCCCAGACCAAAGTCCTTATGGGTTTTCCCCGTATTAACATCTTGACATCTTTAGTTGCATTTGAGTGTCTATATATATATATAACATGAAAATCAGTTAATTTCGTTTTTTTTTCTTCTATTTTTGGTACATAATAAGTGGAAACAAACCCCCAATACATAAAGAGAATGACTAATGACATTATTTAATATATTTAATTGGTGTCAAAAGGTATTATTGCAAGTTTGTTCTTATGTAAAAATAGGGTTATACCAATGATTAATAAACAGAAGTTATTTGCAGCAGTTAGTGCTACTTTCCATGGCTGTCGGTTGTCGGCAGTAAGGACATGCAGATGGTTTCATCGATTTGGCTGTTAATATAAGATAGAATGCGGATACGGTTAAAATTATTTGCGATCCAATAATGCTACATATTAATTATAACCTAACCTTCTTACTTTTATTTCCTTTTTTTTTTGTGTTTTAACTGACATAATGGTTTATAAATTATATTAAATCAAAAACCATAATTCAATGTATTTCGATAAGATTTACAACTTTCTTGTTTTTTATTTAATTAACTCCAAAAATCTCGTATAAATGCATTAACCACCCCAAAATCAATATACAAAATTTAAAAATTTCAATAAAATACACGAACGAACTTTTTCCTAATTAAATCCATGCACTTTACAAAAACAATACTCGAAATTTTACAAAAGGCTTTCAAAAAGAATACATGCCAAACAAAAAACATTAACTATCAAATGTGCAATATTCTGCGTGTTCTTATAAAAGTTCAAAATTTAAATTTAGAGTGGAGAAAAAAAAAACCCCATTTATTTTCCTGTGTATTTTAAAATATTACATTAATTCAAGAAATGTTAATAAATTCGCGTGTCTACACAAACTTTTACCCGTACAATTATCCTTTAACTGGTGTGGAAGCTCTTCTCATTCACGTACGCACATGCAATATCTGTATAAAAAGTGGATATTGAGAATGTGTGTCATTCGTGAGTGACCAGTTTCAGACATTTCGTGTCTTCCAATAATCGAGGAGCCGTCTCCTGTCTCTCTGTCTTAATTTGCCATAGATCCCGGCATGGCTGAGGTTTCCAGCGAACTCCATGCGGCGGCTCAAACCGCCGGAACCACCGTCGCGGCTGCAGCTCAATCGCCGCCGGAGAATGCAAACGAGTGCCAGGTAATAAATAACTCTTAATTACCATCGTCGCCGTGAGCTTTTTCTATTCCTCAATCGATAATGATTTTTTGTTAACAAAATTATTGTCATAATAATATTCTATTTTTATGTAATAATCAAACAGTTTATTGTAACTTTTTCATTATGTATATTTATATGTATATGTAATATGTTTGCTTAATTTCCATATTAAAAGGAATATTTTTTTTTTCAGTAAAGCAAGATTTGGATGTTCCCCGAAACTGCAAATTTTATTGTTTAGTGTTTTGGCAAAAATAATTGGTATATATATGCTCTAATTTTAGACCGTCTTTTTTAATTACATAAGCAGCGCTGCAGTAAACCAAATAAGGCCACTGTCTTTTTTAATAATATGGGACATATGGTATTTATTAATATACCAATTTGGCGCTTTCAATTACTCTTTTCCTGTGTCATTAGTTCAAATACGAACAAAGGGCAGATTCTAAGGTTAAGCATTGACAATATACCAATTTCACTATTAACTTTTCACTTGTAAGTTTTTCGTTTTAAATTACATTTTAAATGACCCAACTTTAAAGAAAAAAGAAAATATATATATATATATACCTACACACACCTCGGCAAACTTTTTTTTTTTATATCAGAATTCAACGGTATGGGTTTTCTCCGGTCACCTGAAAGCCATGAACTTTCCGCCGTCCACTCAGATTTTTCGGGTTTCGAGATTTTCCCATCTCCATTTTCCTTTTCATCCTGTTCCTATTCCATATACCCTCTGTTACCGCTATTGAAAATGATCGTTAATGTCATGTGATGGAATTTAATCCTTGAATTTGTATTACCTAATGCAGAAGCGGACGAACACCATCGCCGGAAACCCACCGGCATCTATCGAGATGGGACGTTATGGCTTCTCCGGCGGCAATTTTTCATTGCCTAAAGCTGAAAAGTCTCGGAAAGTATCGGTTTTGCCGCTCGTTTTCCTCATCTTCTACGAAGTTTCAGGCGGAGCTTTCGGGGCGGAGGACAGTGTAAAAGCAGCAGGACCATTGTTGACCATTCTAGGGTTTCTGATCTTCCCGTTCATGTGGTGTGTTCCCGAGGCATTGATCACTGCAGAAATGGGGACAATGTTCAATGTGAACGGTGGCTACGTGGTTTGGGTCTCCTCCGCTTTAGGACCCTTTTGGGGATTTCAGCTCGGTTGGATGAAATGGCTGAGCGGCGTTATGGATAACGCCTTGTATCCAGTCCTCTTCCTCGATTACTTAAAATCTGAAATCCCATCTCTCGGTGGAGGTTGGCCACGAACCATGGCGGCCTTGGCCTTGACTTTGATACTGACCTACTTGAATTACAGGGGCTTACACATTGTGGGTTTTGTTGCTGTTCTTCTCGGGGTTTTCTCCCTCCTTCCATTTCTGGCCATGGGTCTTGTCTCAATCCCAAAGCTAAAGCCTTCGAGATGGCTTGTCGTGGACCTGCATCATGTGAACTGGAACTTGTATCTGAACACTCTCTTCTGGAATCTGAATTACTGGGATTCGATCAGTACACTTGCTGGTGAATTGGAGAACCCAAACAAGACCCTTCCGAGGGCTCTGTTCTATGCTTTGATTCTGGTCATCGTTTCTTACATCTTCCCCCTCCTGACTGGAACCGGAGCTATTCCTCTGGATCGGGAGCTTTGGACTGATGGGTATCTCGCTGATATTGCTAAAGCTATAGAGGGAGAATGGTTGGGATGGTGGGTTCAGGCTGCTGCAGCCACATCAAACATGGGTATGTTCTTGGCCAAGATGAGCAGCGACTCATTTCTGCTTCTCGGGATGGCAGAGCATGGTGTGATCCCGGAGTTCTTCGCCAAGAGATCTCGCTATGGAACACCATTGGTCGGGATACTGTTCTCGGCCTCGGGTGTTATACTCTTGTCTTGGCTAAGCTTCCAAGAGATTGTAGCTGCAGAGAACTTACTCTACTCCCTCGGGATGATGTTGGAGTTCTTTGCATTCGTAAGGTTGAGAATGAAATACCCAAATGCATCACGGCCATACAAGATTCCCGTAGGAATCATCGGCTCGATTGTAATGTGCATTCCTCCCACCATACTGATCAGTGCCATCATGGCGTTTTCGACTCTCAAAGTAGCGGCAGTAAGCCTTTGTATTGTTGTCATCGGGCTGGTGATGAAACCATGTCTTGACCACACCAAGAAGAGATGGCTCAAATTCTCCATCAGCTCTGACCTGCCAGATCTTCACCATGAAAGTGAAGAATCTCTGACAGAGTAAACATACCATCAGGGAATCATTGCAGCAGAGAACAAATTCCCAACGCTTACTCCAGCCACCCCAGTAGCCATTTTCTTCTATTATCCATCGACCCTAGCAAAAGTTTTTGTCACATTCGGTTCGGACAAACACTATAACAGGGTTTTCCTGTACATTTAATCATAATTCCTAGATGTCTGACTTGAACATCTTTGTCATAAACAGTATGTCGTCACTTGTCAAGAACTAGAAAAAGTCCCAAACTTTAAGAACATGGAAGAATGAAACAATGGCGAAACAACTGTGGAATAGAATTAGTAAGTGAACGGCGAGGACAAGCCAGTTTTCACCAGTGGATCTATACCGGCGATTGTCTGGCCGCAGCTGATATAACAACTCTTGATTTATGCACTGTAAAGCTCGAAGACCATGCCACTGCAAACACAAGCATGGCCATTGAAGCAATGTGCAATATGCAAACACATCTAAAGGGTTGGCACTTTCAGAACTAATTTCACGATTATTACCACAGCACGTTGTCGTGTAAGATGTGGTCGATAGGCAAAAAAGCTTCGAGAATAATGCAGATTCAAAAGTGGAAGAACCTCATAACAGCTCTGATATTGCCAAAATCAGAGAGGCCAATGATCCGTAGTGCGATTTTCCAAAACTCTGAATTCACAAAGGCAAAGGTGTTGAATCTTAGGACAAATTATCCAACACGCAGGAGATTAATAATCCCGTCGAATTCCTCGACCAGAAACAAAAAATAAACCGTGGAAAGAGACGATAGAGAATCAGAAATCGAAAACACTTCCGATGGAGAGGAAGAGACGGATCAAACGAGGCTCTCCGGCGCCGGTACGGCGACCTCACCGGCGGCGTCGATGCTGTATTTAGAATTTTAGAGGGAAAGTAGCTAATCATGGCTATGAGTAATTCGAATTAGGGTTAAATCGGAGTCAACTCGCTAAAATAGAGTATTGATTTGGGCCTATATTGGGCTGAACTATAGGGCTATGGGCAAAGTCCGATGTCCGTTTATCTGATTTTCTCCTCAAGATCCATGGAGATGTAGATATAGAAATTTTAACTATAATTTTTATAATATTATTATATTTAATAATTATTATATAAAAAAAATTATATATATTTTAGATATCTACTAACAAAATATAATTCACATATTGAAATAAATATTAATTAATTTAATAATAAATAATTTGTTTATTTAACTAACAGGATTTTCACATTCCATCGACGGTGTTGTTGGGTATTGGTTCGGTTAGAGTAAAACCAAACCCGAGGTCATGTTATGGTGATTACGTTAACTTATGAAGTTAACCGATGTAAACCGGACTGAACCGAGATAGGTTGCTGCGGTTTGGGAATTGATGTGCGTGTTTTCCGTACAGTAATAACTGTGAATACGATATTGAACTGTCTGAATCGGATGCTGAGGCTGCAATTGCATGGCATGGGCCCGTCTCTTGTTGTTTTAATTTATCGAAGTTCGTTATCATATGAAATTAAATAAATAAAACACATGTTTTCTGCATTTCTTCCCATAAATAAATGAAACCTTCAATTTCTAAACGTCATAAAGGAGAATATTGACTACGAAGCCTCAGTTTTAATGCCGATTTGAGTTTTATTTAATTTTAATTCTAAACAACACAAATCCCGATGTTCTTATTGTATCCATTCATCCATTATGCCATTTTCAATGCATACGTGTATATATATGCATATACATATATATATATATATATATTATGTATATTGATGTGGAAGTGTGATCCTTCTCGTCTAATCACTGCATTGTCTTTGACATTTTTCTTAAATTGTTTTAGCCAAAAATAACGTTACTCTTCGACGTGTTTATCGTTTAGGATTGGCCGAACCAAGGATATTTTATGTGGTTTTGCATTTGCGCCATGATTTTATCATTACGTGGCAAGTTATCATTGGTTGTTATGAATTCTACGACCGTAGACGCCCTTTTTTCGCATTAAAAATTTTAAGAATATTGTTCTTTTTATGATAGAAACAAAACCACGCCATGAATTGTGCACATCAGTTTTCATTTGGTACAACCAATAAAAAAAACTATTGCTATGTTGATAATGAAAACTTTGAACTAATAATATTGAAAATTTTAAAATCTATGTTAGTTAATCATGGAAACTTTAATAGATTCTGTATTACAAGTACAAAACAATAACATAAATTTGGATGGATACAAAACAACCCATGTTTTACATAAATTCACAATAAAATATCAAAATTTTATACTAAACAATACTAGAGATGGACAGAAGTGGGATATTTTTTCTGGCTCAATAACTAATCGGAAATAATATATTGTTGATTATGGAATTCTAATAGATTATCTATATATATATTATTATCACACACATACATATATATATATATATATATATATTTGGTTTTGTTTATACGTTTTAGATAATTTTAAGTTTTATATTTGTACTTGGTCTCTATTAATTATTACGGAACTAACTCTAAACCATAATATTCCCTTAAGCTCGTTTTTTTTGTCCAAGTGCCCTGAAACCCTAATTGTTGAGATCAATATATTGATTTTTTAAAATAAAAGTATATCGAAAATATATATTGCAACATATGATCAAGTTCTGGAAATTCAAAATGTTGAGAGACGGTATACTGAACATCCAACTTTACAAATAGCATTTAACAAAAAAAAATGTTTACAAATAGCATTTATAATGGGTATATATACATACATTATTCACGTTCTAGAAAACCATATAATATACGTACCGCATTCACATTGCCTGGATTGTATAAATACAGATCGGTTGCAGGCCACAACTCGCACACTTATCAAAGAAAAAGCGTGAACATATTACACGAAGAGAGAGAGAGAGAGAGAGAGAGAGAGAGAGAGAGAGAGAGAGAGAAATATGGGAGACGTTTGCGAGGAGAGAAGTAGCGTTTGCGTTAGCGGCGGGAGAACGCGCGTTTTGGTGGTGGGAGGGACCGGGTATGTAGGGAAGAGGATCGTAAGGGCGTGTTTGGCTGAAGGGCACGAGACTTACGTTTTGCAGCGTCCGGAGATTGGAAGACACGAAATAGAGAAAGTGCAAATGCTTATGTCTTTCAAGAAACTCGGCGCCAAACTCGTGGAGGCTTCGTTTTCCGACCACCGGAGTCTTGTCTCGGCCGTGAAACTGGTCGACGTCGTCATCTCCGCCGTGTCCGGTGTCCATTTCCGCAGCCACAGCATACTCTTGCAGTTAAAGCTCGTCGACGCCATCAAAGAGGCCGGAAACGTCAAGGTGAATTATCAAATGCTCCTGTACATATATATAAATAGAATGATCACATTATTCGAAAACCGAAATAGCTCAATCCAAACGGTAAAAGCATTATCTTAGTATTTTTTTTCTTACAGAACTTTTGATAATATTTTTTAGATAGAAATTATAAAATAATGAAAACATTAAAATGGAACTAATCACGTGAAAATGGAATTAATATATTAAAACGCCAAAATAGTCGTTTTATAATAAGACAAATCAACTAATCATATTATCTTTCACGTATAAACACTTCATATTATAACAATTTGAACGTAAATATATATTTAATATTTTTATATGATATATCACATATATATATATATAGATATATATCATCAAAATGATTCAAAAGTCAAATAGCGTACATGTAACGAATATAGATTACAAATATTTACAGAGGTTTTTACCGTCGGAATATGGAATGGATCCGTCGCGGATGGGGAAAGCACTGCCGCCGGGAAGAGAGACATTTGACGAGAAAATGGAAGTGAGAAGGGCCATAGAAGCGGCCGGAATCCCTCATACTTACGTTCTCGGCGCTTGCCTCGCCTCATATTTTGCCGGAAGTCTCTCCCAATTAGAAACCTTGTTCCCTCCAAAGGAAAAAGTTACTATTTACGGCGACGGAAATGTAAAAGGTAAAAAAACCCTAATATTAATTATTTTTTTTACTTTCTTATTTATTAGGGGTGGGGTATTTATTATAGGGTGGACTTTTCGGTTTGGTTATTTATTATAGGTGGGTGTTTCGTTCGGTTATTCAAATTCAAACCGCCTGAACCGAAAAACAAATTTTGTTTTCAAACCAAACCGTTAAAAAATAACGAATGATTATGTTTTTAGAAAACCAAATAAATAGGAATCAGAATGAACCGAACCGAATATTAGAAACCAGGACGCCCCCAAAATTTCTTAAGAAAGTAAATATTTTTTTCGAATCAAATGGTACAATTTTTCTATATAATCCTAACTGAATAAATACCAAACTGAAACCGAACCGAATCCTTAGATGCTCACCATTGTTATTTATGATACGATGGCCAAATTTATTAATAATCGAATAATTGAATCTAATAATATATAACTATAATCAATCTGAATCCGTTATAAAAATCGAATGGTTCTGATTTCTCTAAAATCGAATCTAAACTCAATCGAAAAATAAAAATTTCTTTGAAAAATAAATACTTTTATCAAAACCTGAAACTAAATCGAATCTAGTCCAAACCAAATTCACTATAAAAAATCGAATGATAATGGTATTTTAAACCGAAAATAACAAAACATGAGTATAACCGAACCAAAATCTGAAATGGTAGAAATGACCACCATAATGCCTTATATTTCATGTTCGAATTAATACCTTTGCATTTGATAACTAATTTTCATTGAAGTGGTGTTCGTGGACGAGGATGACATGGCGAGATACATAGCGAAAACGGTGGACGATCCACGAACGGTGAATAAGACAGTGTACGTGAGGCCTCCGGACAACGTTCTCACGCACATGGAACTGGTGGGAATATGGGAGAAGCTGAGTGGAAAGGAATTAGACAAGACTCATATCCATGCTCATGATTTTCTTTCCAACATGAAACGTAAGATCCTACCTACCCACAATACCATCATCATCACCGGTTATTGTAGTAGTACTAGGAGAGGAAAGTGGGCATTTTTTTTCTATTCAAATCTGTTATTTTGGATTCGATTTGGTTTTTTCTGGTTTCATATTTGATTTCTATATTATATTCGGATCTATTGGATTTCGATTTAGGATTCGATTTTTATTCAAAAAAACATGTTTAGTAAAAACGGTTTTAAGTTAATTTTATATTTGCATTCAATTTTAGAGAAAAAACTATAATAGTTTTCTATATTAGATCCGGTATTTATATTAAGGGTGTCAATCGAATCGGCCCGACCTATCCCGAATCTGCACTCAGTTCAAAGGTTTTGGATTCGGATTCGGGGTCTGACTTTTTTTAGACCTACACCTCGGACTTGGATTCAGGTCGGGCCGGATTGGCCCGCTAAATTTAGTGTTTGAATTTTTTTTTAAATTAAAAGAAAAACGGATTTTCGGATCGAAAATTTTTGGACCTAAATATCTCAACACGAAACTCGCTATTTTTTGGATTGGGCCGAACTTCGAGGCTCGGACCATAATTAACACCCTAATATTTATTGATAAAAAAATTCAGTTTTCAAGAGTCTTTTATACCTGGTTTGGATTTAATTTTATTATTCAATTTTTATATGTTAGTTCAAATATATTATATATTATTCTCATTCATTCCATTTGGAAATATCTCCGAGTGGCATATATTGGGCTGGGCTTTGATTGGCCCATTAATATACAGAACAAGGTCCAATACATTTTTATATACGTTTGCTAGATTTGGACAACAAAGGACAAAAAGCGGGGATAGGGTTCATGTTTCACTTGTTCTACGAAGGTTGTCTCACAAATTTCCACGTCGGAGAAGACGAAGAAGCTTCTTCACTTTACCCGGACGTGAAGTACACGCGCATGGTTGACTACTTGAGAATGTTCCTCTAAATTTCCATGTTGTTTGTTTTCACTTTAATATGCGTAATTTGTGGCATTAATGCAATAAAATCAGGGGACTAAATATCATTTCCAATGCATTATTAAACATTATAAGAGTTTATAATTTTTCTTGGTACAATAATAGAAGTTTATAATTCATCATATCTTATACAAATATCTTAACTTTTAGACCAAAATACCTTTAAAAACCCGATACCTTACTCCTTTTACAGGGAAAATATTCTTGTTTTTCTCTTTAAATAATAAAACATTTCCAAATAATTGTGAACACAAATTGTACCATACTGTGGAAACATTTTTGTCCGAAAATTAAAATGTATTCTTTTTTCCCCAAATTTGATGACGTAAAGGAATTTTGTAAATAAAAATATAACAATAATAATAATTTTTAAAACTGACTAGCCGAATTAATAATTACTACTCTGATATCGATATTTGTTGGCATGATATATATATATATAT